GAATTCATTTTAAAATAGCTTTCTTAGTTACTTAGAAACTGTAATTTTCCTGTTGCAACAAATACACATATTTGCCTACTTGTACGTACAATCACTCATACTGTCATAAAAGCAAGATAGTAAAATATGATGACGTGGAGTCAATAGTAATGCGTAAAATAGTTCTTATGTACCGATCGACATTACTTTATCAATTTTCTCGATAATGAGCTCTTGACACCGTGAACCATATAAACTTGAATATACTTGCACGTTAATACTAAATAGCTATTCATTCACGACGCCCATCAATTAAAAAGTCCCAATCTCACAAAATTTAGAATTATTAAAAAAAATTGAATTATTTTTTAAGGCATAGAAATTTTTTGTGAGCTTGAGAAGCACTTATGTAGAGCGTTAAGCATATGTTAGTCTTCAGGGGTGTTTTTTGTGCTCTTATAGAAATTAGAAATGTTATATTGCAAAGTGGCTATCATTTTAGTACCGACGGAATTAACGAATAGGCTTACTGAAGACTTAAATACAATGCCTTGTTACTCGTTTTATGTTTGTTTCTCGTCATTCATTATACGTAATACATAACTGTAAAGATACGAAAATGTCTGCCCTTCTCGCCTTATATGTTGCTATTTGCGATCAAAGTCCAAAAGCAATTAACAAGAATGAATTGAGTTTCATTAACTTTGTTACTTACAGCTGTCATTGCGGGAATGGAACGACTTGCCAGATCAATGAGGACGACGCGAATGTAGGAGCCTTTATCCACCGTTGCCGACCACCCGCCGAAAATGACGAGAATACGGAAAGCTAGCGAGCGCACCGCGAGTGTCGGCATCGCCTTTGGCTGACGTCGCCTCTATGCACATCGAACACCCTATTTATGACGACGCATCCAGCATAACGTCCTAAAAGTTGTTAAAAATCCGAGTTTTGTGTTTGACAAATGAGCATAACTAAAATTTCTTCATACCTCAATTATAGAAATCGATTAAAACTATTTTTCTGTTTTAAGAGACTTCTACTTCGTACTAAGAATGTCGGAAGAATGTCCTCGTGCTTTTATATGATTATATAAACAAAATTCAATTTTCATATTTTAACCTACTGTACCAGCATGTTTTGGGATGTGAATATGTATGGATGTAAATACGTTTTTCTGTTCATATGTGACCTCATGTAGTCTAAGCGTTTATACTGCTTTTAAAGTGACAGCTATTGTAAGGTTATGTAGTTGTTATTAAGTCTATATTTCACGATTTCGCCAGCATACAAATATCAATGCAAAACTGCCATTGATGCAGAAGTATTCTTTTGATAAAAAGTCCATTCTTTGAACAATAAATCTTTAGTTCCTTTAGTAGGCAATAAGTTGCGTTCTAATAATTTATTTTGTATGTGTTAGTGTTTAGTGTTTTTATTATTTTGTTAAATCAAGCATTTAATTAAGGGCAAAGGTGTTATTATACAGTATCCTTTTCTCCCATATTAGTGGTCAAGTTAAATAACTTCTGTTGCTACCACCGCAATCAGTGGTGCTCTCGTGCTACAAATATTTCAAAAACTAAAGTTTCGATACAAATGAAATAATTCTAAATATTTGTAGGAAATCATCAAAAAAATATATTGATTTCAATATATGTAATATTTAAATGATTGTTTTACATCAGTTTTGCACCTATAACTTAGGTACTTTATTCAGTCTTAACGGGTACCTTTTTGTAATTTAATAAGCCAATACTTGATTTCCAAGCTTTGCAACTCTCCGACTTAGTTATCTGTGTTTGCAACCCACCTATCAATGAGTGGCATTTGCCTTTTAATTTGTGTTGTGTTTACTCTTAAAATTATGTTCGCCGGTAAAATGCTTAGATTTCTAAACTGACAAGTCACACGCTTATGGCGTGAAAATTGAGCGATCGGAATCAACGGGCTATTTTTTCGCTTTCTGTTATCTCTGTTATAAACACATCATGATTCGTAAGTATATAATTTCCACGTACCTACAATTACATGAAATTAGGTAACAACAAGTCTAAAATATTTGAAAATATTTAAAAAGAAATATGCTAAACTCAAAAGTACTTATTAGATAATAGTTAATGTTCCTTTTTATGCCGATAATTTTAACCTTTTTTTTTCTGTAATAGATCGATAAGCACTTTTAAGAGTATTTTATATTGTAAGCAAATAGTTTTAAAAACATCATTATGACATAATAAATTTTTATTAGATTAAAATTTATAAAAATGTTAGTATTTTTTGCCTTAATAAATACGAAGACAAAAATGTGGTCTATTTCCTTTTTTGCTTTTCTACGCTCCATCATAGAAAGCCTACTAACCATTAACTTATATATTCATCATCATCATCATTACAGCCTTCCATAAGTCCACTGCTGAACATAGGCCTCCCCCAAGGAATGCCACAAAGCACGGTCCTGAGCCACCTGCATCCATCGACTTCCTGCATGTCTTACCAGATCGTCACTCCATCTCGTGGAGGGTCGCCCTACACTTCGCCTACCGGTACGAGGCTGCCACTCGAGGACCTTTCTTCCCCATCGGTTGTCGGTTTTTCGAGCTTTATGGCCGGCCCACCGCCACTTCAGCTTACTAATCCGTTGGGCTATGTTGGTTACTCTGGTTCTACTGCGGATATCCTCATTTCTAAGTTAATCACGCAGAGAAACCCCGAGCATAGCCCTCTCCATAGCTCGCTGAGCGACCTTGAGCTTCCTCATACTTATATATTACTGACAAATAAATTTATTGAAATAGATGAACATTTAGTCACATTGACATTTGCATTAATAAGGTTATTATTATGAATAATAAACAAAGAGATTAATTAAAGGTTAAATGGCTTTGATAATAATTAATTTCTCCGTAATATAGGGCAGAAGCAATATACAAACCACCAAATCGATCTTTAATCGTGAACACCTTACCTTATCTAATAGTACAAGTACAATGGGCGGACTTACGTCATTGTGCCATTTTCTCTCAGTCAACTCTGAACTTTATTGAGATATAGCAGCGTCTGATTAGACTTTTTTATCATCATGATCATGGGGGCTAAAACGTGGTGATTATGTTGTATACTCTTTGATGAGGACCTGATTGATATAATATAAGAACAATTTTACTATCGTCAAATATGAGGTAGTAAACGTACCTATATTATTCTATAGCCTGTAACTAATATCAGTCTTCACAGCTTCAAACATTAAATAATATAATATGTAAGTTTTCCACCTATTGCAGACTCCTTTGCCACATAGTAATTCAATAAAATAAATATATAAAATCGCTTGAAATTTTACATTATAGTATAGAAGTTAAGGTGACAAAGGAGTGCATCAATCAAAATGCAGATACGTTATCGTGTCTGGAGAGGAGGCAGAGCAAACGTAAAGAAAAATGTTAAATGTGTGAGTAATGCTAAATGACTGAATAAAAAGTTTCAGTTAAATACTTACACAATATTTTCATAAATATAAAATACACAATATGGATACTCTATTCATCATCATCGTCATTATAGCCTATCAAAGTCAACTGCTGAACACAGGCCTCCCCCATATATTGCCTCATTAGGATATTTGCAACAGCTGCAACGCTTGGCAGGCTGGTTGCCAACCGCAGTTTCTTTCTAATTGTTATTAAGAAGACGCTGATCCTCATTTCCAGACTTGTTTCCCCCTGTTTCCTCATACGACACCCACGGGACGATAAGAGGTAGTGGATATTCTTACACCACCACTACACGGTTGGTACTATATTTAAAAAAAAACGTCATAAAATGCCAACAGGTGCATTGGGGTAATATCGACAGAAATTTCGAAAACATGACGAGATTTGTACATTTTGATAAATCGCTTGGAGTAAGTTTAAGTTTCCAATTAAATTATTTTACATGTGTTTGAGTAAATGGTATTATTATTTATGTAAAGATAACATGCTTAGTTTTTTTCAATTACGGGTTTTAAAACTTGATTATTATCCTCCTTATACTTGTACATTGCATGTATATTGCGAAATATCCTGGGGTAATTCCGATTGCTTTTCAAAAGGGTATTTTATTACTTTTATGAATACCTAACCTATTATAAGTTACTTAAAAATATTGGTTAGAACATAGATATACGAGTAATTTTTATGATATATTGCTTCGGCATAACCCCGTAAAGAAAATGTGGCTCTCAACATTTGCTAACGTAAGAAACAACAGTAAAACATATACATACATGTAGATACTTATTCAGAAGTTTATATTTCTATAAATGATATCAATTACTCATTATAAATCATTTTTTTTATTTTTTAGGGAAATTACAAGATTTCAGTTTTGCAGTAATTGCAGATAGTTTTAATGTTTTGTGAAAAAAAATACGAATCAACAATCAAAGAAAGTCAAAAATGTAGCAGTTATGCTCTTATTTTAAAAAGAGTTAACAAATCACCATTAACAAGGTCTTTCTCTACATCTTAACATCTACCTAACAGAACATACTTTGTACTGCTAGATATAATGGAAAAGTCACACTTTGGTCAATTCAGGGATCGAAACAGTCGTTACTTGTGGCATCAGACAGATATAAACCGTTATAATATATTTAAAATCGAAGTCGAGCAGGCCCACTCATTAATTAAATAATAATATTATTATTTTTAAAACTTTTTTTTGAAATTATCGCCGGACATTGTCATAAAATATAAACATCTATTACATTATAAATCGAAACAATCAGTTCACTTACTTTCGCATTATTGATATAGAATAAAAATAAATTTTTCATCATCACAGATTGAGAATCACTGACTTTTACTAAGTATATACTTAGTCAGGTCATAAGTTCTGTCAAAAACTTTTTATAAAATTAATGATACACTTTTTGATAATTATATAGAAATTTTATATGAATTGAAAGGTAATTTAATTTAGAATACAACTTTATTTACATTATTCAAAATGCCCTCCCCTATTTTGCTTACATGCCCTTAATCGCCGCGGCCAATTATCAACCGCAGCACGCACCACACTCCAAGCCAAACTATTTCTGCCGCTGCTTTAGCCAAAGGTACTCGGAGAGATTCCAAATTCCGATAAGGTTTAGCGCAGACTTTCTCCTCCAAATGTTGCCATATCTTGTAATCCAGTGGGTTTAAATCTGGACTAGAAGAGGGCCAGTCTTCATGTCCGATAAAGCCAACTCCACGGACGGTCAACCAGTTTTGCGCGCTTCGTGCCCTATGAGCTGGTGCAGAGTCCTGTTGGAATATCCAATGTCTGTTTTTGAACATTGTTTGAGAAAGAGGTTCCACTATGTTTGTTAGGAAGGTATTTTAGTACACCTCGGCACTGATTTTTACACCTTTTTCACAGAAAAACACCTCAGTTAAGCCTGAATATGAGACTCCAAGCCAAACCATGAGTGACGAAGGATAATGTGCTCGTTGAACCCTCGGAATACGCGTGCTGGCTTCTTCACTGCTGTATGCATACACCTTATCATTTTGTTTACTATAACTTTCTTCGATGTAAAAAATTTCGCGGTATATTTTTCCCGCGTACCGCCGTAACAAAGCGCGGGATCTATCCAACCTAATTATTTTCAAACGCCCTTTAAAAAAATGTCCGGTCTTCTTACGATAAGCTCGTAGTCCTAGGTCTTCATTGATCACTCTTTTGACCGTGGTTCTGCTTAGGCCCATCTGAAGAGCTAAGATTTTTTTGTTTACGAACAGGATTTCGTTGGATTCGCGCCTTCACTGCTTTGATAATCGCGGGTGTCCTAACTGTACGAGGTCGGCCGGTCCTCTTACGATCTTCGAAGCTTGAATCTTCAGTGAATCGTTTGATAGTACGATAAACAAATCGTAGGGTTATTTTAAATTTTTGTAGAATATTGAAAATCTCTTTTGGCGAGTAACCACAGCAGTGCAACACGATAACCGCTACTCTATCTTCTTTCTTCGACCACTCCATATTTGAAAATGAATAAAAATTAATGTCTTTTTTATTTTCGGCATGCGCAAACATTATATTTTTAAAATTGGTGAAGTTAATCTAGCCAGTATTCAAAATTTTTAATAAGAAGGTTTAACAGAACTGACCCGACTAAGTATATTAAATTTATCCTATCGGAATTCCCCCATAAAGGTTATTCCGATTAAATATTAAAAACGAAGTTAGGACGTATTATATACCTTAACATTTGAACAAAAACGGGTTATACCGTTTATCCATCCTAAGAAATCGACCCTAGGGTGGATACTCAGAAACGCGTGTTCGTTTATTCACCCCAGACGGGGTGGATAATCGGAATTCGTATATTATTTTTCTTCCGATTTGCTCCCTCGGCTGTGTACAGTCGTTTATAAAAACATGATAGAAACTGGCCCAAGATTACTTAGTAGACGTTAGCTTAATTATAAAATACATACATACTTCTTGTTTAAACGTAATAAATTGTTCAATTACTTATCATTCGATGTGACACAATTTACGTCATTTTAGATATCACAAGGTGAAAGAAATGTTTTTAACTACAATTAATTTCAATTATGGATTCTGTTGTCATGGTGATTGGCTGTCACACGGGGTTAATAAATTTTTTCAGGAAAATTTTAATTAACGACGTTATTTTCATTTGAATAGCTATATTTTTCTTATATTCAAACTAATTATTGTATGTAAGTGTTTATTATTATTCGTAACTAGCTTATCTACTGGGGATGGAAGAGACTGAACAGGATGCGGATCCTCCGGATGATGCCGGAAAATCTGGATCTTCATCCGACTTTTTTTTAAATGACGGATCACCAACAAGGAGAGTATATCCCTTAGATTATTTGAGAATAAATAATCTAAGAGTATATCCATCTCAAAATCCTCCTAAAAGTGTTGTTGACCTAACTTTATGTACCCCAAATCTTACATCCCATTTTAATTGGTAAGTTTTATCTCACTCATATGGTAGTGATCATTACCCAATATTATTTTCATTAGCATTAACTACTCAATACCAATTAAAGTTTTTTCTCCGTTGTTAAAATATAATACAAAACGAGCGGACTGGACTAAATTCTCATCGTTGTCAGATTCGGTACGCTCTAAATTTTATAATAGTGACTATGTTATAGATACAAACTACAAAAACTTTGTTAAGTACGTTTTACTCACCGTGGATTCATGTTTCACACGAAAAATTTTGCCTTCTACCAAAATAAGTTCTCCCCCATGATGGAATGATACACCCAGTGTTAAAAAACGAAAACAAGCTAATCGTCTATACTCTTCCAATATGTCTATTGAAAACTTAGTAAATTATAAAAAAACAGCAGCTCAAACATTAAAACTGTTAGCAGATATAAAAAAGACGGGTTGGCTTAGGTTTTGTGAAAATCTTTCACTCCGCTCTCCTGCTTCTATATTATGGAAGAATATTAAGAAATTCCGCGGAACATATAACTTATATATATATGTACTTGCTCGACGTGCTGAAGCTCGGCGGCCAGATGTTTTCAGTCACAGATCTCTCGTGCTCTCTGAAACAAAGATTTTCCCACGGTAGCTAACTGTTAACAGTTAGCTACCGTGGGAAAATCTTTGTCTTTGACCACAAATCCCCGCAAAAGAACACCGATTCCTCCCAAGGATGATTCGCGAGGCTATTGAAATTAAAAAACATCCTAATTTCAATAGAGAAGATGGATGGGTGCTGCCATCTGCTTGGGATCCCATAATTAATAAAATCAAATCCAAACCCAAGTATACCACTGCTAGACTTCAAGATACTGTAAGCTCATTCTGCGTAAATCGAACCAAAAATTAATATTAAAAAACTGAAGGTAGCCGGGCTAACTATGACAGCAGGACGTCAAACACCTCAGTCCCCCCTGACCACGGGTGCTGGAAAGCACCCGAAACGTCGGGAATATAAAAATAAGTTAATAGACGCGATAAAATCCGTAAAATTAGTTTTATTTAAAAATTATGTTTTTGTGAACCATTGATAACCCGACCTAGAAAAAACATTAATAATTTACCTTTTAATTAACTTTTCTCCATTGAAGAACTTGAATTGGTTGTTCAACAAATTAAAGATTCGTCACCAGGAATAGACGGACGGAATACCATACTCATATATTTCTAACGCAGGATCAAAATCTAAGCAAATTTTTCTAGACTTAATTAATGAACATATTTATTACAGGAATAGTCCCTAATAATTGGAAAATACAAATTATTATCCCCATTTTAAAACCAGACAAAAATCCAAGTGATGATAATATTTACCCTATAGCACTATCATCAACTCTGTGCAAAATAATGGAGCATTTAATTAAAAATCGTCTAGAATGGTTTGTTGAAAATAAAGGTCTCCTGGCCAAAACCGGTTTGGATTTCGAAAGGGGCTGAGACCGCTAGATAGCTTGTCTGTTTTACCTCTGATATACGGTCGGCTTTTGCCAGAGAAGAATCATTTGATGCTGTTCTCGATGTATCATCAGCCTATGACAACGTTGTCCTCCCTTTACTCAAAAAAGATTTTTCTTTTGGATATTCCCCATAGAATTACCTGCATTATTTTTAATTTACTTTCAGCAAGGTCAATATGCATAAAAATTCGAGGAAAACTGTTCCCCTTTCACAAGGTTCTGTTTTAAGTCCTATTTTATTTAACATATACACCCATAATCTCGATCATTCAATTAACTCCTTTTGTAAAGTCTTACAATATGCTGATGATCTAACTCTTTATTACTCTTCTAAGAACTTTACAGTCTTGAGTTATCGTCTTAACTCTGCATTGTTCTACTTAAATAATTGGCTTACTGATAACGGTCTATCTTTATCACCTACAAAGAGCATCGTATAATATTCTCTAGAAAAAGATTTTGTCCCAATATTTCAATCGTACAAAATCAAATAATTCCGACAAGTGATAATATTAAATTCCTAGGTGTTTTTCTGAATTCTAAGATGACAGGTATTCCTCATTTAACGTTCATTGCCCAAAAATGCGAAAAGAATGTAAATATCCTTCGTTCACTGACAGGTTTGGTGGGGATCTCATCCATATTGTTTAAAACTTTTATATAACGCTCTAATCCGTAGTCATTTAGACTATGGTGTATTTCTCTTGGAAGCTTGTAATAAACAAGCTCTTAAGCTTTTAGATAAAATCCAATTCGACGAATTATTTTGGGAGCCATGAAATCATCTCCGTCAAATGCTCTACAAGTTTAATGTAGCGAACCTCCTCTTAACCTACGTATATAGTATCTTGCCGATCGTTTTATATATAGAATATTTCAGCTATCTTCACGTCTACTGCTTTCTAAACTGCATTCTTTAAACTCTGATTTAAGGAATAACAACTACTGGACTCATAAAGACGTTCCCTGTATCCTTAAAAGCTACCAAAATATACTTACCTTTAAATTTCCCATATTTCAAAGTATGATTAATCCTCTATTCGTACATCCATTTGAAGCTCTATGTTATCATCCTCCAGTTATTTTAGATTTTTATGTGACTAAAAATTCCCCTGTAGTCCAACAAAAATTTCTAAGTATATTACGCGAAAAATAGGAACGGTGGTTGACCCTTTTTACTGATGCCTCTAAACTCTCCGATAATGGTTTTGTAGGTCCAGCTGTCTGGATACCGAAATATAAAATTATTTTAAATTTGAAAAATCCAAATGGAACTTTAATTTTCACTGGTGAAGCTGTTGCTAATTTAGAAGCAATTTTATTTATGGAAGCGCACAAAATTAACAAATGTATTGTTTTTACTGACTCATATTTTTTATAGTATAGAGTGAGAAACGGGCACACAGTCCAGCTAATGGTAAGCGGTTGCTGTGGCCCATAGACATCTACATTTATCCTCGTTTCCGAATCAAAATGCAGATGCGTTGTCACCCGTGAGGACTAAGATGGAATGCCTCTTTTCCAGTCAAAAGGGTTTTTGGTTCTATACACTCACCATACGAAACACAGCAGTGTTAAGCTGCTATTTTACGCTGGTATTCTGTGAGGGCGTGGTCCTTCCCCGGTCGAGCTGACCCATTCGTGCTACAACTATACTACTAATATAGCTCCAGCATGGCTCTACCACGTATATAGTTCATTACAAAGAATTTCATCTAACCCGTTTCGGAGTAAATCGAAATTCCCAATTATTTTAAAATAAAAGATGCACTGTATAGGTGTTTTCTTCAAGGTATTAACTTGAAACTTGTTTGGCTACCAAGTCATAGTGGCATACGTGACAACAAAATTGTCGATAC